AGGAGTCCAATGGAGGCGTTTCAGTGTGTGTGAGATAAATTCCCTCTAGATTTTAGCCTTTGCAAACCATTTACATGCACTAAAACATATAAAACACACACTACAGGAAAGGGAAAACCACAGAAGCAATGGAGCCTCTTTAAAGATAATTTCCAACATTATTTGATACTTCAGAAACAGAACCAGAACTTTAATACTATTTGAAGCTCCTCACATTTAATGCCCTTAAAAAGGCGTGGGGTCAAACTGGGTTTAGGACAGGTGTCAACATCGGGGTTATTAAGTGGCTTTTTGTCGCGTCCTGCAGGATGTAGGTGGGAGTGTGTTGAGCAGTGACCGTTAGTGACAAGCTGTCACAGTGAGTTACCGCTCTGCTCTTACATTATATATGAACATATACCGTCTCCCTCACACAGCGTGGAGAGGTCACTCTGTTTCTCATGCAGAAGGGCAGAGATAGCAAAAGTACACACATCCTTTACTCAAGTAGAAGTACAGATACTCGTGTTTAAAAATACTCTGGTGAAAGTAGAAGTACTGACTAAACTTCTTTACTCAAGTCAAAGTAAAGAGGCTTTGAAATGTACTTCAGTAAAAAGTACCCATAACTAGCAGCTGTTTTAAAGAGTACCTGACCTCCCTTTATATTAATAGAACAATAATGTCATTGTTAGCTAATGAATGTTTCCATGCTGAACAACGGCAACATGACAACGTTTTCATTGGTCCCTCTTCTTTAGAGAAGACCAGGAAATGATGGATACACGGATCGTGTTCAAATCAATAGGCACGCAATGACTCTAAATAATAATGATCACGCCACCAAACACACATTCAGACTAAAGGAACCAGCCTGTTTGGAAAATGAGAGAAGTAGAAAGTACAGGTATTTGTGTTCAACATGTAAGAAGTAGAAAGTACAGGTATTTGTGTTCAACATGTAAGAAGTAGAAAGTACAGGTATTTGTGTTCAACATGTAAGAAGTAGAAAGTACAGGTATTTGTGTTCAACATGTAAGAAGTAGAAAGTACAGGTATTTGTGTTCAACATGTAAGAAGTAGAAAGTACAGGTATTTGTGTTCAACATGTAAGAAGTAGAAAGTACAGGTATTTGAGTTCGACATGTGAGAAGTAGAAAGTACAGGTATTTGAGTTCGAAATGTAAGAAGTAGAAAGTACAGGTATTTGTGTTCAAAAT